TGCACACCTCTACCTACTGGGCTTCGAGCCGGTTGCCGTGCCGGGTTATTTTGCAGGTTTTAAATTCGTGCACACATTTCTGTATTGTTTTAGTTCACTTAAGCTTTGATTTGCATCCCAGACATCAGAGCATTCGCATTTATTTGAATTACCTTCTTTAGAATATTTTGCTGTCCTTTGGGTAACCTAACAGCAAGAGCAATACGCGCGCTTACTGTCGAGACCTTAACTTTTAAGTAGTTATTTGATGCTGGCAAATTTAAAGTGAATAATCATTAACATACTGAATTTTCCATTAATATTAATGGATGAAACAGTTCCTGTAAACTCTGAGCGGCGATCTTTAAAATCACTTGTCTTGAAGCTGAAAGTTTGCGATTTGGAAATTACGAAAGCAGAAAATGAAAAAAATGCATTGTAAATCAAGCACGGTTTTACAGAAAGAATTGGACTATAAAGCAAGGTTTTCTGACAGCGCCATTTCATTTGAAATTAAGATAATTTCGGGAACATTGATTAACTTAAATATATAACTTGAAGCAGAAGGCCGTTTGGCGTTCTGAAAGAAAGCGCGGCATTTTGTATGTTCTTAGAGTAGGCGTGTAAATTCAACCAATGTGAATGTTCCCTGAGCGTAGCTCTATCTTAGTTTAGGGGACGTTTATCTAAATAACCAGTAATATCCTAGCTTTTGAACCACAGTCCTAGCGGTCATTTTGAACCCTGTATTGGCAGTATAGTGCTATATTTCAGACATCGGGATGCTGCTGAAACAAAAACAGGTTTTCGCGATCGTTATTAGAGGCCAGTAATAAGTTGAAGAATGAACAGGTGGAACAGTCGTCGTTTGCTTATCTGCGCATCTCTGGTAGTCGTCCTGGCCGCCCTTCTGTTATTTCATCATTACTGTTCCAATGCACGCTTGTGGCAGATAAATAACCCAAAGTTGACAACCTTTGGAAATATGTCCTTATATTTTTCAACGACTACTGGATAGTCCCACGGACAGTAAAGTCAATACGAGCATCTCAGCCAAACCTCAACAACCATCCTACAATTCTGAATTAAGTGAAATAAACGACGATGTGCTGCAACAAAATATTTCGCTCTCGGCGTTAACTTCGGAAGGCGAGAAGGTGGCAATTATTGTGCCCTACAGGAACCGAACGGATCATCTCTTTCTATTTCTAACTCATATGCTGCCATTCCTTGGCAATCAGAGAAAGCAATATGTCATTATTGTCACCGAACAGGCCGGCAATCAATCATTCAAACGGGACAAGCTCTTCAACATCGCTGTCAAGGAGATACGAAAAGGCGCTCCCGATGACCGATTGCATGGAATAAATTGTTTCATCTTCCACGACGTCGACAAGGTGCCGGCATCGCCTTTCACTGCCTACGAATGTGGCGAAAACGTTAAACAGCTGACGACTGCATTTCGCTCTGAGGGCGGAACAAGATGGTAAGAGATTTGTGGCACCAATGATTCCACAGTTCCCTAGTTGGTTAGTTGTTCATTTAACTGATAGCACTTTCCCAAAATTAATGAGCGACTGCTAACTTTCAGAAGAAGAATTATTAAAGAAAACTCACTAATCGGGCGCTGACTAGGTATGCAAAGTAACATTCGATTCGGTAATTAGTCCATTCAATTCAGATCGGTAAAATCTCGCTCGTCGAGTTGTGCAGTATTAGCCCAGAATAAAAAAGTTAAATATACATAAGAAAGAAGAGGCTGACAGAAATAAAAATTACCTAACTTTGGGAATCATTGTGCGACGTGCAAGCCAATAATCAGCATTTTAATTTAATTATTAAATTATGACCTTCCATTTGTCTTAAAAAATTTTCACGCCATGGGCAAATTATTTGCATAATTGATCATAACATTTGATTAGAAAAACGCCCATTTTATTTGCCCTTTACTGAATAAAAGCGACTACTTTTCTTAGCCTGATAAATGCGCAGTCAGCTGCTCAATATGCAAATATTTTCGGACTCGATAGCAATATTCTATTTAAATTTTGTTTGTCTACCAAATGCCAAATGACATCGTTGAGACAGTTTTGGGTACAAAATATCTTTTTTCATTCTGTGTCTGCAGTGACAGTACTAAGGATGGACCCATAGTAAAAATCCACTGATGGTAGATTCCAATAATATTCTCTGTTAAACAATATTATGTTGAAGTACATTTGATACAAATATGCATTTCCGTTGCAGGCTGTACGGCGGCTTTTTGGGAGCCGCTACCGCCCTGTCATGGAAGCATCTTGAAAAGATTAATGGATTCTCAAATATTTTCTTTGGCTGGGGTGGTGGGGATGACGATTTGGCCCTTCGGCTACAATTAAACAATATTACGGTTGATCGAACTTCAAATGCTGACGGAATATTTGATGAATTCGATGCAAATCATCCGCGAGACATGAACCC